CCGCAGCGGACGCAGCGGGGCAGGAGAGGGAGCGAGAGCTGGCGGAGTACCGGCGGCTGCTGCAGGACCCCGGTCCGGACGTCCTCGTGATCGACGAGGCGCACGTGATCAAGAATGAGAAGAACCAGCTGCGCGCGGTCCTCGCCGGCGTGCGCACGATGCGGCGCGTGTTGCTGACGGGGACGCCGCTCCAAAACAACTTGCGCGAGTACTTCCACATGGTGGACTACGCGTCGCCAGGTTCCCTCCTCTCCTCTTCTCTTCTCTTCTCTTCTCTTCTCACATGGTGGACTACGCGTCGCCAGGTTCCCTCCTCTCCTCTTCTCTTCTCTTCTCTTCTCTTCTCACATGGTGGACTACGCGTCGCCAGGTTCCCTCCTCTCCTCTTCTCTTCTCTTCTCTTCTCTTCTCACATGGTGGACTACGCGTCGCCAGGCGAGCTCGGCGACCTCGACACCTTCAAGAGGCTGTACGAGAGCACCATCACCGACGGCCAGTTCCGGTACGGCGAGGACGACGACGAGTCGCGCTCGCAAAGGGCAAAGACGCGGCGCGAGGTGTGTCCGAGCCACTTCCGGCACACTTCCGGCACACCTGCCGGACACTCCCTAGGCAAAGAAGCGGCGCAAGGACATGTCCAAGCGTATCTGGGCCCTCACGCGCAAGCTCGACAAGCTGGTGCAGCGGCGGGGCGTCGAGGTGCTGCAGCGCGACCTGCCGCGCTCGCAGCAGTACGTGATGGTCCTGCGGCCGACGCCGACGCAGCGCGCGCTCTACAACGCCAAGGTCGAGTCGATGGCCGGGCGGCAGCAGCTCTTCGAGTTCATGACCGACATGCTCCGCATCTACAACCACCCCGCGGCCCTCCTCGACCCAAAGACGCTCGCCCCGAACGCCAAGCTCGTCGCGAAGGCCGCCGCCGCCGCCAGCATCGACGCCGCCGCCGCCGCCGCCGCCGCCGGGGCCGCCGCCGGGGGCGCGCCGTCCCCGCACTTCCCGCCGGCCGCGCCGGCCGGCGGCCCGGAGGGATGGGGTTAACGTGGCTCGAGCGGGCGTGGCCCGCCTCGCGGCGCGGCAACCCTGCGGCTGCCTTTGGCCCG